TTGTTTGTTTGTTGTGCAAAAGCTCTCCCGAATCGCTTTATTGTATTGAAATGTGCTAACTCAAAGCTTGTTAAAAACTGGTGAAACTGCTGAGTATGGTTGCAAGCCCTCCTTCACTCACAAAACGCAGCCGAAAAGACACATAGATTCAAGTTCGAGAAGCTCACTCCCGTTCACCAGAACACCTCGTTGAGGCCCCAGAGTTTTCAGGTATGATGGATTATCTCAGAGTGTCAACGGTTGCAGCGATGGGTGACACTGATTGCGCTTAGACTGCTTTCGTCACTCCTGGGGAACTCATGAATTACACGTCTTACCGTTTCCAATGCGCAACCTCCCCCCCCCCCCCAAGCTACTTTCGAACAAATGATAGACAACTTTCTTTATGGCTACAGGGAGAGCCCTTGCCTATGCTACCTTGACGACATTGTAGTTTTTTTCTAGAGATTTGTTTACTAAAATTTTCTTCACATGCGTGAAATTTTGACGTGCCTCACCTCAGCTGCTCTTAAACATAAAATCAAAAAGTGTCGCTTCGCGGCTGGCCAGTCAACAATACCAGAGCACATAGTCTGCGTGGAAGATAGCCTGCCAGGCCCAGCGATACTCCGAGTGGTTGCCAAACACCAAAAGCACGCTTGCATGAATTCTCTTGGAAGTTACATTGGGCTGTGTGCATAATTTCCCCAAATATTGCTTGCTTTAGCTCCCATCATTGCCCCCCTTACTAGTCTCCTAGCAGCCTGCAGAGGCCTACCTGCTTGGCCACGTGATGACACATCTTCCCACATTCTACGATGATTACGCACATTGCCTCCGCAACTTCGTCACTCAACCCTGATGCTCCAATAGTTCGATACTGACGCCAGTGGAATTCGCATTGCTGCACTGTTCACCAAATAAAAGCCAGGATATGAGCAATACATTGTGGCCTACGCCAATAGATCAGTAAACAGAGCTAAATGCAATTATTTGATGAGTGACAAAAAATGTCTTGCCATAATTTGGACTTGGATAGGTTTTGTCTCTACCGTTAATCCCGCCCTTTCGACATCTGGATGAAACACCAGGCACGCGTTGTATAAAGATTCGTCGGCACCCCTCGGTCGATGGGCGTATCGGCTACAACACTACAAGGTTCGTGTTGTGTACTGATCAGGCCGGAAACATTCTGATGCTGATAAGCTCAACCAGTAACCACTCGCATCTGAAAAGGCATCTACGTCCGCTTCCCTGTCGCCAAGCGACGTAACAGAAATGTTGTGGGAGCAACGGAAGGATTCTCGGGATTGTCGCTTGCTCGACTTCCAGACTAATTCACCAACTCAACAGGCTTGAAAAACCCTGCTTATCCTGTATGAGTGGAATAGCACCTTTGATCACCAGAGATATTTGCTTGTCATACCTCACCACACGTGCAGGGAAATGTAATTTGGCCTTCTACACCACCTTGCAAAGTGTTCTCGCCACTGTTGTGAAAGACCTCAACCGCATTCGTCAGTGATGCTATTGGCCTTTTCGTGAACGAGTATACCCACATTTGTACTGCAGGTCAGTGACGAAAGGCTCAACATCGACAACCAGCAGGTACATACCAGCCTCTCCCAGGTCCCACGCGCCCATCTGACCACGCTGTGATTTATATATAGAGAGCTCTTCCATCAAACACGTCTGAGTGCTATTGGCTCCTTATTGGTATAAACAATATCACGCATTCTGCAGAGACAACAGCTTTGTCCATAGCAACTGCCAGAGAACTTGCAATTCTCATCTTACGCAACTTCATCCGGTGCCACGGCACTCCCCCCCCCCCTCGCGAAAAATTGTGGGTTACGTGTCTTCTAGCCGAAGCTTTTGAAGCTTTGCTCGTTTATGCAACGTCGTTCACCTTTTGATGACCCCATATAACACATATATGAATGACTTAACCGATAGATTTACTTGAACTCTCAGGGCTATGCTGACAATGTATAAACGCATCAGACCAGACCAACTCAGAAACTGCCTTTCCTTTCGGGACGCATGCGTACAACACTGCAATGGAAGAGAATACAGGACTAGCACCGTTCATTATTTTATACGGACACAAACTTTCACGCATCCTTGACGCCATTCTTCCTGACACACCTGCTGAAATTGAGTACAGTTCGACTTTCGGCGTTGCCAGGTACGCAAAAGATTGCCGAAAGTTGGCCCGTTTAATACGACGGAAGACACAGGTCGCGAGAAGCATGACGACGACCAACGTGTTTGTCAACACGATTACCAACATCTTGCTGTTTTGACGACGAGGGTCCTTGTCTGGCTTAGGTTCCCACAGGTTACTTCTGGACTATCCTCGTATATAATAACCCGGTATCATGATCCATAGCGCATTCTTCCTCGAACTTTTCCCCTAAGCAAACAGGTTAAGTATTGGACACCGCCTGAAGACTTCTGCCATCTTGGCCGAGAAATCGTGCATGTGTCCTGCACCAAGCGACATTTAGACCCTACTATATTGGCAACGCCATAGGTAAACAGGATGGCTTCGATATTATTCGCGAGCAAATCTGGTGAAGAGAGGGTGACGACAACACTCACGAGCACGCAAGCAAGCCTCTTTGTCAACAGCAGCAAGGACACCAGCTCGTACTTGCCCAGATTTAGGATGCTTTTTACACCCACCACTCTCAGGTGGTCTACTAGATGTGAAGTCGCTCGACTTTCACTGAAGTGAACGCGCCAATAAACCACATCACACAGCTTTCTTCCAGGCGTTGTAGTACTTGTGCTTTGTGGTAGTTGCGAAGTTGTGAAACCACTATTATTATGAAGCTTTTTTGCGCATTGTTTTGTTAAATTTTGGGGGTTTACACTATTGTTGCGCACAAGACCGGGTTGAATAATGGATCAAGGAAAAGGTCATTGCACTGCAGTTGGCTGACTCAGGCTGATGATGATAATTGTTATAATATGAAGGTGCGGGCGAGAGAAAGACAAGGTGAACAATTCTTTCTCGTTTAGAGTGCAAAACCAGCTGCTCGGTCGCCTTTTCTTCATAGTTCCTGCTTGCACAGTGTGTAATTGTATCAATGTTGTTGTTAGGTGCGGAAACAGCGGGTAATTAAGAGGAGTCAGCCGCCGCTGAATGAGAACCAATGCTGCAGTTTCACTGAACTCGACTTTGCAGCTAGGTGTCGAGATACTTATGAAGTCGACTGATTCTGCACTGCAAATCCCAAATATCATCAATCTTTGACTCTCTGACGAGGACAAAGTCAGTCACTTGTTATGAGGGATTGCTAGGATTCTTATTTTTACTTTATCGGTGTATACAAACTTTCCATGGCCAGTTAATTACGTGAAGCGGTACTGTCGTATATTCGGCAAACTAAACATGGAGCGCATCAGTACTGAGTTTGATTGACCAAATATGAAGACTTGTGAGTATTACACGTCAAACGAAAAAGGGGATTCGTAAGATAAAGTGACCCAACATCTTCATTTAGTGACGGTTCTGGAAGAAAGATAAAAATTACCAAGTTTATGTCTGCCTCGTGGGCGACATGGCAAAGCTCCTTGTTGGTGGTGACGAGATAAAGGAATTGTACATAGAGAAATATATATAATGTGGAGCACCCGCCATGCAGGAGCGACATAAAGAGGAGAGAAGATAGGTAAAATGGGGGATATATTTGGAGGAGTCCGAGAATGGGGCGCCACTCAGCGAGAGCTATACGACATCAGAAGATCGCGGAGGGCGGACCAGTCGTTGCCAGCTACGCTGTTGTCGGATATCGTGGGCGACAGTAACGTTCATTACGGAATCCAGTGATCAAGTTTCGCGATTTATGTAACACATAACCCAGATATACGGCGGCGGTGCCCCTTTCCCACCAACCTGCTTGCGTCACGCTGTTTTGTCATGTTTTTGGCCGAAATCTGGGTCGTAGTCACGCTCAGCTAGATCGGCCACCACACCTTTTGCTATACTGTCCTAAACTATTCTATATTCTTTGTTTCTTATTGTTTCTCTGTCTTTCTTTTTCTATCTTGATTTCTTTCTCTGTGTTTTTGTCTTTCGTTCCTTCACTCAATTTTACTTGCTCTTTATGTTTCTCTCTAACTCTCAAAAACGCAATAAATTGGTTTTCTTAAATACTTGTTCAGCTACCACGCCCTTACAGATGAGTGGTTATGAAACTCACCTTCGGACCGAAATCACCTTTTTTTTCAGATGCTGCGTCGAAATGTTATCGTATTTCAATCATTTTTTCGCCAACCTGGCCATGCCCCAGTGAGCGTAGCCAGGTGACGCTGAGTTAACTAGCGTTTACCGTGAACAATATAAAGTTATTTCACTGATTCACTCCTTGCCTACACTCATATTCATTCTTCCTTCCCTCCTCTTCACTTCCAAGAACAAAGCTTCGCTTATAGCTAGCCTCGCTCTTGCTTTCCAAGTGATTGCCTCATCGTTCCTCATATTATTACACTTTATGCACTCCCACCCTAATACCTCCATCCCCTACTACCTTGAATTGCTCTTGTTCGCTCCGTGCGCTCCCTCTAGTGTCTTCGCTTTCTGTCACTTCTGCTGTACTCGGTAGTGGAGCTTGCCTAATTCCTGTTGCGCGAAAACGTCTGGGTTCTCGCACTCACGGTGCTGACTTTCTCCAAACATGAAACAACCGCGCTCTGTAAAGCGGAAGTTTGCGCTCAAGCTATATCACATGTCCTCCCTTCTGTCATACGCCACCCCAATCCTGCTTTGGAGTGTGCAGAGTATGGTCACATTAAGCTAGAGCGATGACGCTTTCGCAATGCTATGTTGGCCCATGCCTTGCACCTTCAGTGATTCTAACCTCTTACACAACCTTACGTTCCTTGGTTTGGTTGATTTAAACAAGGTAACGAAACCAATGGCTGCTGGAAAAAAAAGAAAAAAAGATGGGAATATTTTTTCGTGCCTATGGCAAAACCAAGTTTTTCTTTTGTTAACATTCATGTGGGCATTATTTGTATAGGAGACAACTTATTCTTGTAAAACATTACACGTAAACGTGCGTATAGGTTAAACTAGGTAATTATTATCCGCTAAGAAGAGTTAATAATTTACTTGCCATTAGTACAAAGTAAAGAGTATACGCAAGCAAAACCGCTCTTTAGTGCATGTCGCTTCTCATTTTCATTCTTCTTCACCTCATTCTTTTCTTGTTCATGGCATTCCACAAAACATGAAAGCCTTGCATGAATAACTATCGCGATAGAACCTCGTCAGCTGCAAGGTTCACAGGCCTTGGTTCCGGTCAATAAACCGCAATTTCAGTCGTTGCACGTGACCAGCCAATATGGAAGGGCTGTTGATGTCGAAAGGCAGCTTGCCAGCTGGAAGAACACGAAATCTCTGAAGCAGTGATGTCACAGCCAGGAAGATTTCGACGGTGGCCAAAATCTCACCGGGGCAGGTGCGTTTTCCTGCAAAAAAAAAAGGAGTGACTGTAGAGAACAAGAATTTTACCTGGTGACGAGCTTCGCAATTTCTCATAAAAAAAATAGACGGCTTGTGTTTTTCAAGCCCTATGAAATTTGCTGTAAATCAAATTTAAGGAAAAAAACTTGTAGAGCCATGTTTTACGTGACGGACACGTCTTTTCCGTAACAACTATCTACTTTATTCTGACATCCTAAGAGTCAAAAATAGAGGGGGTTCACGAAGTGCACCGGAAGTAGCAAAAGTGAAAGAGACAAAGGAGAAACAAAGAGGCCAGCCTGTTGCTTGGAATGCTGTTCCGCAGGTTTTTTTGACCGCGGGGTGCGTGGTGGTGGCCGCGTCGCTACTTACTCAATAGGGTCACAGTGATGGAGTTATGGCAGTGCTGGCAGCGCCAGCCTGGATGTCAAAGCACTCATTTGAAAGGCGCTGCAGGCCATTATCACATGATCCAGGCCAACGATGCAGGCCAACATCACAAAACCAAAGTTGGGGGACTCTTAGGCTTCGTCTTTGAGATTAGAAAGCCATAGCGAAATTCTCTTTGAATGCGTCCTTATTTCATTTCAATTCATTTAGTGCATCCTTAAAGGCCCGAGGGCATTACATAAGATCCGAAATGCTCAAAAGTTCTTGGGTTTGACGTCGAAAGAATTGGCAGATCCCACGTACAGTAGGAGTCGATGATATGCGAAGCACGAATGAGGAAGGTTGATGTGTTACTTTAAAATCAGCGCAAGGTTACGAGGTGGAGGTAAATTATGACGTACATGACTTTCGTGTCACGATTATCATGCTTGGATGTGTGGTTTGCCTTCGTCATCTATTCACGTCACTCGATACCAAATTTAGTATTTGTGCAGCTAGTTTGTAATTCATTAACGTCCAGTAACACCAAATTCGGTATATGTGGAGCTAGCGAAACAGCCGCGATCGCATCATAAAGGGCCCAATATACTCCAACGCAACGTTGACGCACGCGCATGCTGGGCACAGTGACGCTACTTTAGCAAAACGCGAGCACTCTATAGTCTGACGCGAGGCGCGACCAGCGTCCGTCGGCGCGGCCCGACGGCAACTGGCTCGAAATGCGAAGTGCTTCATTTTGCGCTGATGCTTTACACAGACAACACTACGTCTACCTCTTTTCGTTGCAGAGGGATGCCGGACGTGCTGAAACGAGCATGCGTCAAAGCAACGCAGCGCAGCGTGCGCCTCACGATCAATGTTGCCGAAGTTCGCTAAAAAATTCTTCGCATTTAAAACTCATCTAGGCACCAAGGCATTTTAGTCCCTTAGGGCTTACATATGATCAGGAAGGATATCTATCTATCTATCTATCTATCTATCCATCTATCTATCTATCTGTATATCTATCTATCTATCTATCTATCTGTCTATCTATTGTAGTGGGGAAGAAGGAGAGAGACAGTATCTAGACAGCACCTGTAAGACGACTACGAAGAGCTGAGCTCGTGACAGTGACTGACGCCTCTTGAACCAGGCAGTTGGTTTTATTCAACAAACCTCTTTATAATCTGGTGGAAGTGCTGGGTAGTCTTCGAAGCTGGAACTACGAAGTCGCACCTTACCTGCAGTGCCAGCAATGCCGGAAGAACCCTCCACCCAAGGTACCTCGCAAGTTCCCGCCTCTACATGTCCCGGCGTGTGGCCACTGCGTCACCCACCGATCTTCAGCGGTACTGACGGCCAAGATGTTGAGGAGTGGCTGGCTACTTACCACAAGGCGAGCGCAGCGAACAAGCGGGACGATGCGGCTAAGCTGACCTATGTAAGCTTTTACTTGTCCGGCGTCGCTAGTCTCTGGTGGCGCAATCACGAAGCCAACATTGCCAGCTGGTATTCATTCAAGGCCCCCTTTCCGCAAGTCTTCGACCACCTTGTTGTGCGAAAACTCCGCCCAGAACAACGACTTCGTGAGCGTGCTCAACAGCCAGGAGAGACCTTTACCAGCTACATTGAAGACGTTGTTGACTTTTGCAAGCGGGTAAACCCAGCGATGCTCGAAGGCGACAAAATCAAACAAATCCTCAAGGGCATATGCGATGACGCATTTGAAATGTTGTTAGCCAAGGACCCACAAACCATTGCCGAACTCGTCAGCTTGTGCCAGAGTTTTGACGAATTGCGCAAGCAACGCGCCCAAACACGGCGCTCTCTGTAACAACGTTATTCGATCACGGCCTTGACTTTCGGAGACCAAAACGACATGTTGGCTCACATAAAGCAGTTCGTGCGTGAGGAGGTCGCTCGGCAGCTCTCCATTTTTTCGAGCACGCCCGAGCCAGCAAAAACGCATCCTTTGGCCCCAGATCATCGGGCCCCGGTCATAAGGCACGTCATACAAAATGAGGTAGCGGACGCTTTGCCTTTCGCTCGTTCACCACCTCTGGAGGCCGCACCCTTGACGTATGCGCAAGTCGTTGCAGCCAGAGCACCTCGATAGCCCACTTATGCCAGCTCACCGATCCCTGTTCAGCCATCACCAGTTCCGTTCAGCCGGCCGATTGCAGCGCTTCCGAATCTGTGGCGCACCGCAGACAACCGCCTGATTTGCTATTTTCGCAGTTACGCAGGACATGTGGCTCGCTTGTGCCGCCGCCGCACTCTCGTTCAGAGTGACAACATGCAAAGATTGTCGCACGACTCTTGGCGCTTTAACAACATGGCACGTCAACAAGAATCCTCTTCACCCGTCACCTCTGTCAGTCACCGATCTCCATCTCCCCGACGTCGCTCCCTGTCGCCTATGCGCCATCGACCCTGCCCTTCAGACGCGGAAAACTAGATGCCGCAGTTCTGGAGGCATTAACTGCGTCGTCGTCGAAAGAATCAAGTCTTCGCATTTCTCCGACAAACCTCATCGACGTTTTTGTGGATGGTTAACGTACCGTTGCGCTTGTGAACACTGGTGCTGCCGTTTCAGTAATTGATTTAAAACTTTGCCGCCTGCTTCGGAAGGCTACCACGACGCCAAAGGGGCTGTCCCTCCGTACTGCCAGTGCTCACCATATTCGACCACCATCTGCCTGTACCGCCCGCGTTCTCATTGAAGATGTTTTGTAAACCGTTGAATTTCCTGTGCTACAGGTGTGTTCTCATGATGTGTTCCTCGGCTGGGATTTTCTGTCTCGTAATCATGCGGTTATCGACTGTGCTCGTGCTGAAGTGGCCTTCTCTGCGTTGTGTGCCTCGTCTCCGGAATTTCCGTCGAACAAGCTGTTTGTCGCTGACGACATCGACATACCACCGACTAGCACAGCCTTAGTTTTCGTATCTTGTGCCGATGTGTCTAAGCCTGCAGTGTTGTTTACGCCTTCCCAAACATTTCAAAGTCGCAAAAGCCTCGCGTTGCCGTTTGCAGTTCTAGATATTTCGGCGGGCACTACCAATTTGTTTGTCACAAATCCCTTGCCGTCTCCCACAACGTTGCGTCGCGGAGAATGTGTTCGAACATTCCAAGACTTAGACGTTTCCTCCATCTTCGACCATGACGTTGAAAGTGATTTGCAGCTTAATGCATTGACGCCATCTGCCCATTCAGTTGTCCACAAAAATAATAATTTGTTTGACCCCTCAATTGATGCCGAACTTGAAGAACCACACCGCGGAAAGCCTCTAGAACTTCTTCACCAGTTTCGCGACTCGTTCGATTGCCAGCAGACGCCCTTAGGTCGAACGCACAACGTTGTGCATTAGATTAACACCAGCTCCCAAGTGCCTCTGCGACAGCGTCCCTACCGTGTATCTCCTGTGGAGCGTCGTGTAATCACCGAGCAAGTGGCTAACATGCTTCAACGTGGCGTCAATCGGCCGTCCAGCAGTCCCTAGTCTTCACCTGTGGTACTTGTGAGGAAAAAAAGACGGCTCGATTCGCTTTTGCGTCGATTACCGCCGTTTAAACAAAATCACGATTAAAGACGTATACCCTTTTCCGCGCATCGATGATGCCCTGGACTGCTTGCAAGGCGCTGAATTCTTCTCATCACTAGACCTATGGTCCAGTTATTGGCAGGTTCCTATGGCACCGTCAGATCATCCAAAAACTGCTTTTGTGACGCCCGATGGGCTATACGAATTTAACGTAATGCCCTTCGGCCTTTGTAATGTGCCAGCCACGTTCGAAAGGATGATGGATAGCGTCTTGCGTGGGCTAAAATGGAAGACATGCCTATGCTACTTGGATCTCCCCTGATTTTGACAGCCATCTCCAACGCCTCAGCGAAGTCTTGAGCTGCCTCACGAGCGCAGGCCTTCAACTAAACATCAAGAAGTGCCACTTTGGAGCTCGGAAGCTCACAATACTTGGTAACGTTGTTTCAAAACTCGGCGTCCTCCCAGACCCAGAGAAGCTTCGTGCTGTTGCTGAGTTCCCGAAGCCTACGACTGTGAAAGCGCTTAGCAGCTTTGTCGGACTATGTTCTTACTTTCACCGCTTTGTGAAGAACTTCGCTTCGATAATCGCACCACTGACACAGCTGATCTCTGGCGATGGACACCTCTCTGATTGGTCGCCAGCATGCGATGATGCTTTTGCAACATTACGCCATCTCCTTACTTCACCACCTATTTTACGCCACTTCGACCTTACTGCTCCAACCGAGGTGCACACGGATGCCAGTGGCTTTTGACTTGGCGCTGTCCTTGCTCAACGCAAACCTGTCTTCTCGCAGTATGTAGTTGCGTATGCCAGTCGCACCCTAACCAAGGCAGAGCACAAATACTCGGTTTCCGAAAAGGAATTTTTGGCCATTGTTTGGGCATTACAAAAATTTGGTCCTTACTTATATGGACGCCCTTTCGATGTAGTTACAGATCACATTTCACTCTGTTGGCTCGCTTCATTGAAGGACCCTTCGGGCCGGCTTGGACGTTGGGCGCTACGTTTACAGGAATTTGATATTCACGTCATTTACCGCTCAGCCCGCAAGCACACCGACGCAGATGCTCTTTCTCGCTCGCC